TACCGCCCCCTGAAGCTGCTCTTTGTTGTCATCATACTCAGTTAAGAGACGGTCGACCTCTGCTACATTGTGTTGTGTATTCCCACTCGTATGTTGTATTGCTGTATGCTTTGGGGAAACGCTTTGGGGGTATTTTCCAGGCGTCACCAACTCCCCCTCAGACCTTTTTTTACCATGGGGACACCTCGGCTTTATTTGGGTGAGTTCGTGCTCTGGGAAATCCACACTGCGCGCATCATTGGAAACCGACGGCAACAGCATTTGCAGACCTTGTTTCACAGTATACAACATTGATGGAAACCCGTACTTAACTTCTCCACTGTCGCTATGCCTAAATTGCAAAATGTGTTGGTCACAGCCTAGACGGGGTTCGCCGACTTCTTTTCGCTGTAGATTATTTGTGATGTGCTGTGTTTCTTGGCAGAATCTTTTAGCTGCATCTGATGGCGTCTTTTTCAGTAACATTTGCGGACACGGCTCTTGATCCACATTACGGTCTTCAGCAGAGAGAGGTAGAACAGGACATCCGGTAGGTAGGTCGGGATTGGCCAAGAAATCGACCGACAGACCCTCAGACTTGGATGTATTGTATTTATTGTAATGAAGTGACATTTGTGACTGCGTTGTCACTACCTCTTCGGCGTCGAAGTTCTTGACATTCGACTGTGTCATTGACAAGTGCTTTCGAGATTCCGTGCTGAAACCAGAATGTACACCTGTGCTGGTTTGCAATACGGACCTGCTCATATATGCTGGAGAGATAATGTCAGTAGACGCGTGGTTGAGAGACGGTAAAATTTCTGCTGTATCTAGAGGCCAGAGTGGCCAGGGGGCGTTGGGGACGCCAGAGGAAAGATTGGAAGATAAGAGAGTCCAAGCGCTTGGGTTGCTCTTTGAGAGAAGGGGATCTACAGCAGACTTTGTCCTGCTAACGTTGCGATTACTGTCCATCACCTTTGAATTCCCCTCGCTCCTCTGTCTGAAGTTTTAAGTCGGTATTGGTTATATGTTAATTGTTTGATCGTCATCTATGCGGTAATATGTATATATATTACAAACGAAAGAAATGGCCCAAGAAACAGCGGGAAGAGAGTGGTACGGGTTGTGAAATGCAACAAACGGATTTGACATTTTGATATTAAAGTTTTTAAAGTTGTTATTAAGTTTTTAAATAAAGTTTATCGCCAACTTTTGAAAGTGTTCTGTAGATTTCATTTCAAATGGTCAAATTCACGGTACGGAACAGGTTGGCGGTGTCCCTAGCAGGGTGGTAAGATAAAAGTTGATAAGGATGTTGCAGTATTAAAAACTATACACAAACTTAAATGCCACAAATCTACAGTGAATTCTTTCCAATTATTTCGCAACTAAAAGTTGGATGCCCCAGTTGGTATTAGAAAAGAATTAATTAGAAACGTTATTATTCTAAAAGAGATCTAGATATAAAGAACATTCACTACATACTAATTAGCTACACATCTACATGTGTACATGTGCAGGCCTACGAGCTTTCTAGACAATAATTTAGAAATAACTGTTTATCTTAACAATAAAGGGCTACAAAAGCATGTTTTATCTGCGTAATGCGAGTAATATTTACCTCATTCAAACCGACGATCCAATGTCTGTCTTCAGAATTGACGACACAAGTTGACAACAGTAAGGCCATGAGTTTATAACAAGTAGATCTATAGAGCTAGATTTCCTTTTATACGCGGAAACTGAAACTTCACGATTGCCATTAGAAACGCAAGTCATAATAATACGTCATAGGTGGCTGGTGACGTCTGCGTGTGCACGTCATCAACTGACGTCACAAAAACGTCGCAACTTTTAAACACGTAACGTCATAAAACCAAATGAATTAAACTTGGATTAAACTTCTACCCAGCATTTAGCCATACGACTAACAGATAAAAAACTTTAAAAATTACACCAACTAAAGCCCAGAAATCATTTTGTGAAACCGCACCTTGGGATAAATATAAGTGACTGTACTGCACAAAATGCTTTTAGATTTTTAGAATGTTTGTTCACTCAAGCATTACGAAATTCAAACTTTAGCCTATTCCGGTTACGTCTGCAGTATTATCTGTATGCCTTATTTTATCACAATAAAGACTAGATTTAAAGTCGAGACTTCTGCGCGGAAAGCGAGTGAACTGTATCATTATGTAAATCAGGTGATCGTTTTCGTGAGAGGTTTTCAGATAGGACAAAGGTCAGTAGAAGATGGAAAAAGAACGAAGCCTCATGCCAAACTCCTACGATTTCCAAATGTAGACGGACAATTTGGCACTAAAATGGGTTGTAAGTACATACTGTTAGTGCTGTAAGTGCTGTTGTAAGTACTGCTACATGTACATAACGCTCAATCCCAAGCTTCAAAAGCTAATATACATTACCCCTGTATATCGGAGTGCTAATGGCCCACTTCCATTCTATTCTGCCTGTCTAGTATTTAATGTTTCTATGTAAAGCAATTTATTTCATTCCTCATCAAGCTAAATATCTTAAATATATGTTTATTCCCTGGAGTTGATTGATAAAAGAATTAAAAGTCGTGAACAGGGTGGAAGCCGTCACTCATGGTAGACTTTTATTTGCGACCCTCTCAAGATAATCAGATTCTGTAGGAGTACCATCTGTTCTAATCACGCCACTTGCCGTCTCAACTTTTTCTGTTTTTTCCCCTCTACAGTTGCACGTCCATGCTATCGAATTAGCCCATAAGTTAAAAACCTTCAATACTGTATAACACCTGTAAGGTTTCGTTAAAATGGTCACATTCCTAGTGAATTTCCTTAAAAGGTACATTGGCTTCCTTGCTTTTTTTCAAAACTTTTCATGTTATCACTCCAGGTAAGTGTAATGTTTAACTCAGCATGCACCAAACACCTTGTAATTACAGACTTAATTAATGTTGATTAAAATGGATCTTTACAGTTTTACAAGCAAATATTTCTTGACAGAAAAATTGTTTTTACAAAATTGTGGCCCATTTGACCTTGAAATATAGGTCTAAGGTCAAATGTAATGTCATATTCCAAATGTCCACATGCGACTTTTGGTTCTTTATTTAACTTTTATATAATATCTTCGGTTTGGGAGATATTTAGCATTTTATTTTCGAAATATGCTGAAAAAAAATAAACGATATCATTACTTTTGGAAAAATCGTCCGGTCAAGCTAAATGTTGAACTCGGCTCTAGTAATATCGATCACTCCTATAAGTTTGAAGACAATGGGCTAAGCAGTTTCCCTTGAAAAATATTATCTGTATTGGATATATGCTAAAAAAGCCTACTTTTGAAAAGCAAAATGGTCCAGTTTTCGATTTTGACCTGTATTTTATGAATATTCATCAGTTCTGCAAGTTTGAAAACAAAAGGTCAAACAGTTTTCCACTTATCGTATTATCAATGCACAGTGACGACAGATGCAGGTGATGGCTATATGAACAGACAATGTGTCTGTACATAACAAAATTCAAGCCAATTTATTTAATTATAAGTATGTATTACTTCCTTTATTTTCTTGCCTTTTTAAACAACTGGCTTATATATAACATGCCAGCACAGTCTACCTATCTTTATATTTGAAGATAAAAATTTAATAGATGGTAGATGGCATGTATGACTTCCTCATAATTTATGAATACTAAACTTGATACAATTTTTTACTACAACTATATTTCCCAGTACATCCAGCTAGTCCACTCCATCTGTGCTATGTATTGTATAACAAAAAATTTATACACTACAAACAGAGATATTTGTTTCAATTTACAACTTGGGAAAAACATGATACCACTACCTCTGGTACAGGGACAGTTTGACTGTGCTGTTTACCATGTATCAATGACAACCAGTGTTTTCATGGTATCCATGACAATATAACCTAATAAACAAAGCCTGGTAATAATACTGATCTATGAGGATGTGCACATTTTAGCAAATGTCAGTTAATCACCAAAAGTTGCATGAAGAGACCCCCAAAAATTAAAAAAGTACATGATACAAGGATATAAGTGCACATTAAATAAATCCTACCACATACTCGCACGCACACATTAGATGGTAGACAAATATATTACGCCATAGATTATTGTAATTAAAGGGAAATTAAAAGAATGTGTAGATCTTGTAACCTTGGTCATAACATAAACAAGAAGTATTTAACAAGATGCAACAGATAAAGTATTGTGCTATACAATTGGCTAAACGATGCCAACTTTTATCCCCCAAAGCCAAATCAAAATATTGGTGTCTTAGGATTTTGTTATGCAACATATCATGACATGAAACAATACGACTAAGGTAATTTTTGACCTACTTCATAGAAATGCCACATCCACCATACATCCTTATATATAGTATCTTTTAGAAGATCAACTTTAGCTCCCACCAACAAAAAATTCTATTGCACGATTCATACACTGTACATAATATACAAGGAATACCTGTACAATATTTACATAACCTTGTCAAGTTAATTCATCGCTATACACTTACACACACAAAGTGTGAAGAAAGAACACATGAAACAGAAATGCACTACAGTAATACAACTTACCTTTATTTTGTATGTGTTAAAAAAAGAGAAAAACAGCCGATTTACTTTCATAAGTAGTAAGATATAATAATGTTATACAATTGTGAGACTGGCATAGAAACGGGTTTTTTAATTTGCATAATGTTGAGTAAACAGTTGAGTTGCATTGTTGCCATAGCTGTGGTCAAATTGTGAACTTATTTCTCAAAAGAATAAATCCAGTCATCTTTCCACTGTGCAATCCTCTCCAGAACGAATTAACATACATAACTCTGTTTGCTAAACTCTGTCATCTCCTGTCCTGTGAGGCAGCGCCACCTTTTGTTTTGAAGGTGATTTCAAACCAACCTCTGGAATGCTCCCTGCTGTTTCTAACGTTTCATCCATTGGATTCACATACAAGTGTCTATGGTGTTGTTGAGATGAAGAACTTAAAGTCCTTCTGCCATGTTGTCTGTGTTGTGACCTGCCCCCTATAGGAGGCGCTTGTCTTCCGCGATGGCGGCGTTAAGCACTATCAAAGTGTCTGTGATTGTGATTGTTTTCACTGGGGATGTCCCTAGAGTCTATATTATGATGTGAGCTGAGATGGCTGAGCTGAGGATGACTACTACTATTACTACTGGTATGGTGACTTGGTGACTTTAGAGAACTGGCACTGGATGAGTGATGATTGGGATGAACCTCAGAGTCTGGATACAGATCTGGAAGGATCCATATTATACACATAAACACTTAACTTTTATACATTCAGGCATCATAGGTATAAAAAAATCTTAACATCTGCCAAAGACAACTAAAAAGTACGGATTAATGATGACCCCACATATCAAAATGTTAACTCAGACTTTTTATAATGATAAACAAATCAATAAATACATTACCTATTGGCAATGTGTGAGATGTGGTGTGAGAATAATGTCCAGAGACACGTGAGCACTGTGGCAATATAATTATTTACAAAAAAGTTCGAATAACCAAAAAATAGTTAAAATGCAGGGCATATGGGTGTGCAGTAAAACAAATTATTTTCCTTACCACAGATCTATCCTTGTTCTATTAATCTCAACTATCAATTGGAATGGCTTAGAAAATGTCAACCAAATGCTAAAAGTACCTGGATTGTCTGTGGGTGACTTGGAGCAGTGATAACTATCTGCTGTTGATCTGGTGTGAGGCAGGGAGCTGGCGTTAAACCACTGCGGTGGCTGATGAATCATGGCCACTGGGCTTGGTGACCTGTCTCGGACCCCATTGTAATTGACTAGTTTAGGATGAGGGTTAAAGGTCTGCAAAGAATCCAGTCCAGTGCTGTTGGTGCTCCGTGTGCTGGAAGAGCTACTGTCTGATGCACTTCTTGGCAGAGATAAACTGTGCTCTGTGGAAAAGAGAAAAATAACATTTTATTTCTCCACAGGATTACAAGAAAGTTTTTTTCTATTCAATTTTTTTTCTATTGAAGATTGACATCAATTTGTAATTTCGGCTCGCTCCAGAATATATTTCACATGAAGTTTTTAACCCTAAGGCTTGTATGGTTCTTACTGCTCGAGGCAAATAAAATATCAGATACATTTGTCTTCTTAACATTTTACCAATTCTGAAAATGTAAAAATAGGTAAAAAAATCTTTCAAATCGTCTCAGTACAAACCTGACTCTGCAGCCGGCTGGTGTTCATCACAAGTCAGCGACACTGACTGTTTTAGATCATCATCCTCCACATCACTTGGAAAGATGGCGGCCGTGCGCCCACTTTCAGACTTGGCGTGCCGGGGGTGTGACTGGAACATGGGTAACACATGTCCCTGATACTCCAGGAACTGGTCCGACTTTGAGCTTTCCCGTTCCTCATCTAATGGATTATATGACGTCAAGTCACCAGGTAAAGTTGTCTTATCTGTAGAAGTTATAATATTTTATTAAGGGTCCGGCAATTAAATTCATCAGCTGTGTTATGCACTGAAGATTACAATATTCGGTTTTTCCGTCAGCATTATTACACCTAAAGCCTCATTTTTGTGACACTCAAATATTGCCGTGGTAGTGAAAACATATAGCTGTTTTTGTATCTTTATAACTTCATATATGGAGAAATAAAGTGCATTCAGATTTTTACGATGTCGAGTTTTCTGTGACTTTCCAATTTTCTAAAGCAGCATCCCACTGTGAAATATTTTTCACCCCCTTCCCCCCAATACTGGTACAGAATCGAACAGACAACATCTAATAGAATAATGACGTATTATCATATGTTCTCACCTGTAGGTGTACTGCTGTATGTCTCACTCCTCTTCCTGGTCTGATAAATAATGATCACCCAGACCAAGGACGTTCCCACCACGCAGCACACCACAGCTATTATTGTAAACCCTGTCATTGTGGACTCGTCATCCAATCCATCCAATCCACCTCCATCGTTTTCCACGTGAGGGGGACTCCTGATTGATAACAGTCAGCTGGGACATCCCCTTTCTCATTCATGGATTATATTGAATTCACTGGGTAGGCGACTGCCAGGAATCACTGCAGGGACCGTTCTTTAGTCTAACTGACCAAGGGTCATTGTTTGTTTTTTTGTTTTTTTCCCCTTCATAAAAGCTTTTATAAACTGAAATATATGCTGCCACTAATACGTAAGTGTTTGGCAATATTAAATAATTTCTGAAAACACATTAAAATCTGTACTAACTAAATGACACGACTGCCTCAGAAAGTCCATACAGTCAGTTTTGCTGACCACTTGGTTTATTTTAAAAGGGCAGCAAGCTCACTTTGTGCATTTTTCCCGAGGCATTCTATAAATAAATCAAACGCCTCGTCTTCTCTGGTTTTGAGTGCGTCCAGGAAGTCAGCAGTTTTCTTTGGACATAACACACTAGTAGCTGAAGTGTCTGGCTTTAACCATTCATATTCACGGTCGGTTATAATGCCTTCTTGGAGGAGTTCATTCAACATGTTCCTGAGACAGGGTTCTGTGATTTTTTCACAAATCATAGGTTTTTCTTTATCCAGAACTGAAAACAATTAAACAGTTTTATAATTATTAATATATAAAAGATAATAAAATCCCTGTAGTCGTTACGTAAAAATAGTAATTTTGGCGGATAATTAATAATAAGCCTTTGACACTCAGGCAGGGCAACCATAGAAAAATACTAAAAACGTAACAAAAAAAAAAAAAAAATCCTCACTGCTGTAAGAACACTTATTTGCATGTTGACTAAGTGAATGGAGAAAATATGTGAACATTTTTACAAAAATACTTTGTATGGAAAGTCATTCACTGGGGTAATGTTATTACAGCTTGATTGCTGCGCTTAACGGAAAGTGATCAACATCATGAAACTGTTCTTGTTTGTACATTATTTTGTATGTCATGATCAGGGGAAGGCAGTCTGACAACATTTTTGTAATAGAGGAAGAGAGGTAATTAATCACTGTGGTTATGCTATACATGTAATAGTACTGTGTTTACCTTCCTGCCAGCTCGGTGGATAAACCAGGTCTCCAGGAATGGATACACCAGAATTGACACATGGCACCTGTCTTGGTTTGGAGGTAGCCCCAATGGTTTGGTCAAGTATCTCTCCAGGGAAGAGGGTTGGGTGCTCACTGTTCTCACTCACACAGTGGGGACACACAAGGTACTTGTTATATGACAGCCCAGGCCAGTCTTCTTTAATGATATTCATAAGGTCATTGTGACCTCGCCTGAGAACACCCCACAAGTCTGAGAGATGTGATCCACGGACAGCAATGCTGATAACCCAGTCTGGATCTTGGCTGACTGCATCAGGATTTGACTGGTTTTGCCACCGTGTCAGCTGCATTTTGCAGCACTCAAGTTCTGCATACACTCCATCCTTCCAGTCCATTCGCATGGTCTTCCTGAATCCAAGATATCTGTGCTGACGAACGGAAAATTTCTCATATAAGCCATCTGGACATTTGTATGGAAAGAAAACCTGCAGGGTAAGTTGTGTGGTGTCTGGAGGAACCTTGCTGGGCCATTTGGTGTCTAGCTCAGGTTGTCTTTCTTCAGTGAGAAGCCATGGAAAGTGGAATGAGGTACTGGGTTTAAGGATTTTTTTATCTTTTTTATCTTCTTGGACTCGATAGCAAAGCTCCAGTTTCAGCATCATTTCTATCATGACATCAACTTCAGTGCTTGACAATCGGAAAGACTCACACAGGCAGCTCATAACTTGTTTAGAAACAATTCCTCTGCTGAAGATGTCTTCTTTTATTTTAGGTGCGGTAATTTCTGTAATATTCATGGACCTCCGGAGCTTCTGTGATACTTCATCTTGATCATGAGTCAGGACTGCCTTGAGAACATTTACTAGAATTTCTTGCTTGTGGAAAACTACTGTCTTCAGGGAAAGGCTTCTATCAAACCATATTATGTCTCCACGGTGAGCTAGGAAACTTAAGATGTCACAAATCATTCTTTCTTTTTCTTTTTCTTTCTCTGAGTACTTCTCTTTCCATGATGTAGGTGCATTTTGCAGAATGAGGTCTTCAACCACTTCCCAGCTAAGTGTGTTTTCAGAGTCTTCGATTTTCTTGGTGCAGATATTCTTGGCTGCTTCCACCCACATTCCTGGTAGAACTTCATCACTTGCCTTGGCAAAAGAAACAAGGTAGTCTCTCAGCTCTGGAACTCCTTTATAGGTTTTTGAACTCACTGTAAAAATTTGCTCATAGACGGGTTTCATCTGACCATACAAGGTCTGAAGATGAGCTACTTTGCTTTGGTAGGCTTGGCGGAGAGATGCTTGGGCTTTCGGAATTTCTTTTCTTTTGCTCTCACATGTCTCCTTTTGTGCTCGATACCACCTTTTCTTTTTATCTGCATGGTCTTCAAGATGCCTGGTTATTGCAGAGCATTTTGTTTCTACTTGTGTGATTTCAACCTCATCAAGGTGAGTTCCAATGATAGCTATTTGTATCCCTGGTATCTGTGCTTGCACCTTGTCAATCCAGTCTCCAATGTGCAGCTTAAAATGACCCTCATTTTCTGCATCATATTTAGAAAGATTGAAAGTGATGAAAACCAAGCCTGTAGTGGAGATAAATATGGGATGTCCTATTTTATAGGCATCATGTCCACCAAAGTCATTGATATTGAAGCCAATATCTTGGTCAACCTCCCATGTCCCCTGCTCCACCACTCTTGTCCTGTCTGCCTCCTTTGTGAGGATTGACTGTCCAAGTTGCAAAGTACGTGAAATGCTAGTTTTTCCTGCTTCTGTTTCTCCAAGAAAGCTTATCTGTATTCTGCTTGATTGGATTGCCTTGGTGTCAGTTAATGCCTCAAAATACCTCTTGATGGCATCTAGCCCCCTGTTGGCAATATGTTTAGGTGGTTGCACCAGAGGATTATCTGTCACCTTTAAATTTGTTTCCATATTACAGATCTGACGTGGCAAATGAGTGATTTTATTGGATTCCAGTTTAAGTATCTGAAGTTTAGTCATTTTTGTGATGTCCTCTGGTACGTCAGTTAGCTTGTTGTTATCCAGGTACAGCTTCTCTAGATTAGTCAGGCCACACAGTGCTATGGGGAATGTAGTGTAGTCATTGTTATTGAGCCAGAATAGTTTAAGTCCCTTCATCTTGCTGATATCCACTGGTACGTCAGATAGCTTGTTGTGAGACAGGTCCAGCTTTTCTAGGCCAATCAAGCCACACAGTGCTATGGGGAATGTAGTAAAGGCATTGTCATGAACCCAGAATATTCTTAGCCCCTCCATCCTCTTGATATCCTCTGGTATGTCAGATAGCTTGTTGTCAACCATGTCCAGCTCCACTAGGTTAGTCAAACCACATAGTGCTATGGGGAAGATAGTGAAGGCATTTTCATGGAGCCAGAATAATCTAAGCCCCTCCATCCTGGCGATATCCACTGGTATGTCAGATAGCTGGTTGAAAAACAGGTACAGCTTCTCTAGGTAAGTCAAGCCACATAGTTCTTTGGGGAATGTAGTGAAGGAATTGTTATCGAGGAATAATATTCTAAGCCCCTTTAACCTAGTGATATCCCCTGGTATGTCAGATAGCTTGTTGTCTGACAGGTGAAGCTCCTCTAGGTTAGTCAAGTCACATAGATCTTCTGGGAATGTAGCAAAGGCATTGTTATCGAGGAATAATATTCTAAGCCCCTTTAAACTAGTGATATCCCCTGGTATGTCAGATAGCTGGTTGTCTGACAGGTTCAGCTCCTCTAGGTTAGTCAAGCCACACAGTGCTATGGGGAATGTAGTGAAGGCATTGTGGGATAGGTTTAACACTGTGAGGTGTGGCAGGTTGAATATAGACTGTGGCAAAGAAGATAACATGTTACGTGATGCATCGATCTTCTTAACATTTCTGCACCTGTCAATGGACTCTGGTAGGTTGTCTATATCAGCAGAATCTATATGAAGCTCAGTCCATTCCAGCACAGTGTCTGGTGTCTTGGACTGTGGAGACAACTGTAGCCTATGTAAGTGATCAAGACTCTCTCTACCTGCTGTTACTTGTCTGTAAGCCATGTCTCAGAAATGGAGCAGTTGGAAAAAGGCTCACTGCTTTATCTTAAAGATGGTCGCATGTAAAATGTGCAAAGCTCTTTTGCTTCCTCCGTTACTGTACATGCATGTCTTTTATTGTTCTTTCCTTTGTCTGAAATCGAAAAAGACAAATCTGGTAGTGTCAACGACGATTCACCCAACCCCCTCCTTTTTTGTTAACTCTCCCAAAAAGGAGCAGTTGTAAGCTCCAACATATATAAGCTTGGCAGTTTCTACTGACCAACCAGCACACTTCACGGCAGCATCAACAACTCTGTAGTTTAGCGATTCAATGGCTCCTGACACTAGTGGCCCCGATTCTCACAAGCCCTCGTCTCAGTTGCGCACCTGACAACAGTGGTCTACCCGGCAACTTCGACAGCAATCTCACCGGCAGCAGTTTTCAATTTGTTTCAATTTTTATCTGTGTTTTGTACTGTTTTTCCCTCACATTAAATTTATTAATTATTCTATTTATTTTGTTATTGTTGTCTTTTAATATTCGATCAGTCGATTCGATTTGGTCTCGCAATCCCAACATCAACACACGAGGGCATGAAGAAAAATATAGAAGCAACAAGAATTCTTCTTTCACAAAACTAGTATTAAAAGCTAGACAGATGATTTAAGAAGAAACGACGAGCACCCATAAACTAATTTATTTAATAATTTATTGAGCACAAAGAAATGGTTTACATTTACAGGCTCTCTAACTAATACAAATATTAAAAGAATAATTTAAGTAATAAACTATGCTCATCCACGCAGGGATACACGCTTTTTAATTGCACTGTTAATAAATTTACATATGGCAGTCACACTCTGCACAGAGAGTGGTGTGACGGGTGACACTTCAATATACAAAAGAGAAGACTGTATTTGTACTCATACGGTTGATTTATTGTCTCTTTACACAAACTTGTGTGACGATACTCATGTGTGTATGGTTCAAATCTGTAAAATAAAAGAAAAGAAAAAATGCGTAAATAACTGACAAAAAACCCTAGAGCACATTATATATAGATATAAAGAAACAAACAGATAAATAAATATTAATAAAGTGAATACATTAAATAATGAAGAAAAATGACACTTCTTTTGAATTATCCGCGAGTCCACACCCAAATTTTACTGAGACTTTTAAATACCACAATGTATTTCCCTAAAACTAAATTTTCACTCAATATGAATTTGATAGTAACAATGACAGTTGTTAAAAGCAAAGTACATGAAACTTACAAATTTTTTGTCCTCTTTTTGTATGACATTTCTATCTTCTTGGATGTCTGCATAAACTCAACTGCTTGCACCTAAGCTGTCTGTCTAAACAACTGCTCATGCTAAGTGGCAGTGCCTATTATTAATAGGGGTGTGTGGACTATACTATATGGTAGGGGTGACAGGTTATGTCCTTTACAAGTGGATTGAGTAAAATAGATAGTTTATTGTCTGTTGGACCCTGCAAATTCACCTCCGGTATGGAAGCGAACAGTATTTCTCGTTCGACTCTGCGTTCACTGCATTCTAGAAAAAAGTGTACTTCATATTCTACTGAGTCGCAGTGGGGGCATTTCCTTTTGTCAATTGGCTTCTTTGGTTTTGTATATCGTCCTCTTTCAATTTCTAATTCATGATCACTGATCCTCATTTTTGCTAATACCCTTTTTTTGAGCTAAAGGAACATTGAGTTTTACATAGGGTTCAGCCTCATATGTGTGTTTAATTTTTCCATATGTTCTGAGTTTATTGTTTTCTCCTTTTTTCAATTCTTCCCAAAAATTTGACTTTATTTTTTTTTTATTATTTCTTCCTTTAGATATTGGTGGTTGTGTATTTTAGTATGTGTGTTCTTATTTGGGTGGTAAACTTCCCAGCATGCCGAAAGATTTGTAGTAGCCCAAAACCAGCTTTTTCCCTTTTCTGTTTGCTCCATGTCGTAAGCTTGTTTGACTAGTCTGTGAGTTGGAAGGTTGTCCAGTCTTGCACTGTATTTGGACACCAAACTTACAATGTCCAAATACAGTGGAAGACGTCCAAGCTCTGCCCTGCAAGCATTACTGCTGGAAGTTTTTCTTAAACCTAGTGTCCATTTACACATTTTTAAATGTTTCTGTTCGAATGGCATCTTATTCAATTTGTGTAGTGTCATTTTTTTGTCTAAAAATATCTCTTGTGCCCAAACCTCACAGCCATATAGTAGAATTGGTTTAATCATTTGGTCAAAAAGTTTCATGGTTAGTAGGGGTGAAGAAATTTCCTGATAATTTAGCATCCCTTTTAATGAAAATATAGCTTTGAGGGCCTTTTGTTTGAGGTTTTCCATTGTCTGTTTTAAGGATCCTGTGGTTGTAAAAATTATTCCCAAGTATGAAAACTGCTTAACTGTTTCTATAGGTCTGTTATTTTGTGGGTCAATTTTCCCAAGCTTATTGAATACCATAACTTTAGATTTATTTTCGTTTACCTTCAATTTTCACTTCAGACAGTAGTTTTCAAGTTTGTTAAGTAGGGTCTGTAGTCCTTCTTTTGTTTGTGAGAATAAGACTAGGTCGTCAGCGTATAGTATGTGACTTAGACCATCAGCTCTTGTTGAGGTATCATTTATGTGAAGTTCACTTTTTATGTCATCTATGAAAATGTTAAAAAGTACTGGACTAAGGTTATCACCTTGCCGTATGCCAATTTTGGACAAAAATGGTTCAGTGAAACCAGTGGGAACCGATACGCCTAGTCTTGTATAATTGTACATGTACTTTATGAGTTTGTATATTTTGCCTCTGATACCTTGTCTCAGGAGTTTTATAAACAGACCTTTATGCCAGACTGTATCAAAGGCTTTACGAAGATCAACAAAGCAGGTATAGAGGCGTTTATTTTTGTTTAAATATTTGTTTATGACAGATTTTAGGGTAAATATATGATCTGTGGTGCGATACCCAGGTCTAGCTTTTGATTTGTTTCTATGAATTGAGTGATCCTATTTGTCAGTATAGAATTGAACAGTTTCCCTAAACAGCTTGTTATGCATAGGCCTCTATAATTTGATGGGTCAGTTCGATCGCCAGATTAATATAAGGGCAGTATAAGGCCTAAGTTCCAGGCATCCGGGGTTTCGCATGTATTTAGTGCTAAATTAAAGGTTTTTGTTATTAGTCCTACTAGGTAATTTACTCCCGTTTTTAACATTTCATTTCTAATAGAGTCTTCACCGGCTGCCTTGCCATTTTTTAGTTTTTTGATAGCGTTCTTTACTTCTCCAATTGTTATGGGACTATTTAGGACAAGGTCTCCTTCCATTTCCTCGTATCTTTTTATTTCATCATTTATTTGTTGATTATCTGTAGGGGGGATTCCACAGAGTTGGTGAAAATGTTGTTGCCAGGTATCTGGACTGATTATGTTACTTTTGTCCTCTCTTTTCCTTCAGGGTTTTTAGAGTTTGCCAAAATTCTTCTGGGTTTTTTTTTTCAGAATTTAGCAGTTTTGTTAATAGTGCATCTTTGTATTCCCTCTTTTTTTGCCTTAGCAGTTGTTTATATTTCCTTGTTGTTATCTGGAAAGTTTGTGAGATATAGTTGTTATGTGGATTATTTTGTAATAGTTTTCCAAGATGTTTGATATTCCTCCTAATTTCAGAACAAGTGTTGTCGAACCATGGTTGTTTTTTCATTCTTTTTGGTTTCTGTTTTGTTTTTGTGTTTGTAGCAGTTTTTCTTTTACGAAGAGACATGTCTGCAGCTTTTTCAATGATATCTGTGAGTTTATCGCAGGCATTTTTGATTCCATCTTTAGAGACTGGGAAGTGTGTAGTCTGTGCTTGACTGATTGATTTTAGACTTTCCTCAGTTTCAAGAGCTTTTAAAAAAATTTCAGTTGACTCTGTATCCCAGATGTAGCGGTCTTTAAATTTATGGATTGAGTGGGCATTTGACATAGCTTTAGTACCTGTGGTGCTGATTGCAAGGTCCAACAGACAATGATCTGATAGGTAATCTATGGGTGACACTGTAAGATACATTACTTTGCTCATTAGTCCCTCACTTGTGATTGCATAGTCTACTGCACTGCATCCATGCTTGTTAAAGCAGGTAGGATAGCCAACTAAATTACCTTTAGTTCTACCATTGAGGATTCTTAAATTGCTACTCCTACACAATTCCAGCAAAGTTTTTCCTTGAGTGTTGACTATGGTATCAATATTATTTCTCTTCTGTGACAATCTATTTGTTGGGTAACTGGCAGTCATAGGTATACCAAACATGTTATCATCTTTAATAAAGTCGGGCAATGTCCCAGTTCTTGCATAAAAATCTCCAATTAGGCAAATTGACCCATGTGGTTGGTAATTAGCAATTTCCTCTTCTAATATTTCTATAGTTCTTTCATCTGAAAGGCCATTGCAAGGCTTAACATATACTGCACATAAAAACACATCTTTCTCTAGACCAACATGTTCACTGGCAAGTTGAACCCACAGTAGATTGTCACTTTTACTACTAAGTACATGGATGCCTTTCATAAGTTCCTTTTTGTAATATATCACTATTCCACCTGATGGTCTGCCTTTCATTTTAGTTTTTGTTCTGAGATGTTCAGTGTGTCCATGGGTGCCACCAGGCAGTGCTATCTTTGATCTTACAGTGCTAAAAGTTTCTATGCATACAAAGATGTCAAAACTTTGTACTGTGGAGATGAAGTTATCATCACTTAATTTTTTTGCTAACCCCCTTACATTGCGCATGCCGATACGCAACATTATCAAACGCGAGTATTAAGATGGGTAATAGCTCTAAAATAACACTAAATGCCTTGAACCTTATTTTCTATTTCACCTAAACTAATTCAGATAAATGAAGTAGTGTTTTGATTGCACTGAAGACAGAATGCGAAACAGCAAACAACGGTTACATCAATACCTTGGAAGACTACGATGCCATTGAAGCAGACCAGGATTTGGAAAGCTGGGTATAAGGGTGCATTCCCAGAGATTTAGATCGATCCAGAAATTTAGATTTAGATCGACCTAACTCCCTTGGGGTTCACGCTAAATTGCAGTCAGCAGAGCGGGCACCATAGTTAATTACCCCCTCAAGCTTTTAGTAGGCGTGCCAGACGCTTAAGCCGGCTAAGCTGACAGTAATCTAGTGAGACTCCCCGCAGGGATAGATTGCTCTAAAATCTATGGGAATGGGGTCTAAGACATAGTGAGGTCACTTTTTGACGCCTTCCTGACAGAAGAAGGTTCACTCCAGTTCAAGTAGCCATAAAGTGTCTTCATTATGTCAGCCAGTCACTGAGCAGAAGAAATTTTTTGATCATTTATTCTCCAAGATGCCAACGAGACCCTC